TCCTGCCCCATCCTGTCCTCACTCACCCCATTGCCTTCCTGCATGGAGGGTCCCCCCAAAGCTCCTTTGCTGTGAGGCATCTCATGGTACTGCCAGTCTGTGCAAGAAGGCTGAGAGGGCTCCGCGGGGAGAGGACTGCCCAAGAGGCGGCTCCCTTTCCCCCGCCCAGCCTCTGCAGGAAGCTCAAAGACACTTTAATACTAGCTCCACATAAAGTCCTCTCCCAAAGCGTGGTAAAGAATGGGAAGGCTCTGAAACCCACTTTGGGGGTGCTGAGTAAAAGAGGCGCATGTTTCTGGGGTGCCCTTCACAAGAAAAGAGTTTGGGACCCATCAGGCAGGTCTCTGCCGGAGATGCCCTGGAAAGGGGTGCTGATGGGGGCAGTGGGGTGTGGGGTTGATGGCAGCCAAGTAAGAGGCATCAACATTGCCCATGACCTTGACTCGCCCCACCTGGTGCTATTCTCCATCCACTCAGGATCAAAGTACCTGCGTCTCGGTGAGCATCAGCGACGTGGCCACCTCAAAGCGCTTGGGTCTGGACAGGTACTTGTTGAGTTTGAACTGGTTCTCCAGCTCCAGGAGCTGCTGGCTAGTGAAGGCTGTGCGAGGCCGACGGCACTTCCCCATCAAGCCAGACTGCGGGGTGGCTGTGGAGCAGAGAGGGTTCAGAGGATAGTGAGCCTGGGGGAGACATCCCCACGACAAGCCTGGGATGAGGAGGAAGGTGAGCGTCTCTTCCATCATCTCCCGCCCCAATAATTGATTTATTGCCTGGCTGATAGGAACCAGAGAGATATGTTATCAGGCCTCGGTGTGCAACTGGGATCAGTCCTGTGATTGAAATTAAACCTCCTTTTTTTTATTGCTGGGCCACACAGGTGGCTGCTCAACTGCCAGGGGCTGCGGCGTGGGGCTGCCCCTGAGCCCTGCTATCTCGCCCGCAGCCCTTGAAGGCAGCGCGGTGCTGAATCAGGAGGCAGAGGGAACAAAGGGACCTTTCAGAATCCAGCGTGGGGTGGCTGCCGCGCCGTGTTTGATCCCCGCTTATCTCCTCATCACTGGCTTTATTGTGTCCCTGAGGATCAGCTTTTACTACTTCTCCCAGCTCTGCAGCAGCAATTAAAACCAGAGGTTTGCAGCTGGCAAGTAAAGTGCTGGAGTGGATGGAGGGGAGGGCATTAATGGGAAGGGTCCTTGGGATGTCTCCACTGCTATGTCTTGAGGGGCAAGAAGGAATATCGTGGCCCCTTTCTTGGCAACAGTCACCCACTTTACAGGACATGGGACACAATCCACGTTATCTCCCCTAGATTCTAGCTTTGATCCCAGCCTGCCCATCTCCCGAGGTGTCCACCAAGCCCTTCACAAACACAGTGGTGACGCATGAGGAAGGAATTTATGAAGAGGGCATTAACTGATTGTGATCCGGGTTTGATCCCAAATACCTGGTTGTTGGGTGGGACGGGTCAAACAGGCAGAACCCAGCTTGGGCTGGGTCTCTGCAAACTCCACGTGGGAGCAGGGATGGACCCAGCCCCTCATGTGCCCTGCAGCCTCACGGTGCCACGAGAGACAGCCCATGGGTCCCACCTTGCAGTCACTGGCCATTTAAACTAGGGACTGAACATAGGCACACTGTGCCAGTGGCTCTGACATTCTATGATTCTACAACACAAACATGATGCGTTATTTTGCACACAAAACATATCCAAGGCTAAAACCAAATGAGAGGCTCAAAGGATTTTGGGGACGCTTTCTGTAGCTGGAGGCTGTTTTGCCAGAGGTGAAGAAATACCATATTCCCAGCCTGAAGTTGCCACCCCAAAGCAAAGAGCCCAGGGCTCAGCTCCTAGAGCACTGCGTCCTGGCTGTGAGGAGCACAGAAGTCCTTCAATTACCAGAAGGCACAGAATCCTCTGTGCTTTCTCCTAGAAGGTCAGATGCGGCCAGACTAAAAATAGTTGTGGGAAGAGGGGAGGCAGAGAAGGGAGTCTCAACCCCAAAAGCAATAGGAGTTCCGTCTGTTCAGCTTCAGAAGAGGCTGGAAGACACCTTGCTTTAACAACACCTCACCAAGGGACTCATTTTTCCCCAAGTAAGAAGGACTGAGGATTGCTTGGTCTAGCAGGGAGAAGAACAGAAAGTTTGCCCCAAAGCCAAATAAATCCAAATGGGATATATCCCAAATGACTATCAATGCAGGGGACCAACTACTGGAGCACAGTCCCTCTGGTAGACCCAGATTCTTCATCTCAGTGTCTCCAACTCGGCCTCAGTGCAATGGTGTGCATTACAACTTGGTACAGACCCCGAATTCCCTGGAAACCCACCCTGCCTCCTGCCTCAGTGCTGACAAATAAACCAACCTGCAAGCCCCTCTGTGATGTTGTCATACAGCTCAAGCTACCATCAGTCCAAAGGCCAGCCTACAAAGGTGTGGCTGGCCACCTGAGCTGTGACCTCCTCTCAAAATACACCCTCCAGCAGCTACTATTATCCATTAGCACTGCTCCCCACCGTGATATGTTCAAGATTTGACCTGCAGATGAGGCTGGACAAGCCCAACTCAAACCAACACAGGTTTAAGATCCATCTGACCTGCAGCCACCCATAGCCGCAGGTAAGTGTGGACCTGAACAACCACCATCTCTGGCCTCAGACTTGCTGTTAGCTTCCCTATAGGGCCCTGGATCCTTTGCATGGGGAGATATGGATGAAGAGAATTTGCAGTTTCTCACTGGGGAAGGAGTGAAGGGAGGAGGAGGAAGTGGCATGTGAGGGTATGAAGCAGGTTCCAGTTTCCCACGGAAAGAGGAAATGATGCTTTGTGGCTGCTGGTAGCTCTAACCTGCCTGGCCAGTGTGCTTTGTGGGGTCCTGTCCCCGCTGTCCCTTGGCAAGCTGTCATATGGACATGAGCGGCATCCTCCCAAGGATGCCCAGCAAGCATCCCCCCAGAACTCACCTCTGCCATTCTGTGCCAGCTGATCTATAACCCAACCCTATCACAACCAGCATCCCACAGAGAGGAACCCTTTGAGAAGGCTCTCCCCCTTATCCAGATCAGCCACTGCTTCAACACCACCTCTTCACTTGTCAAAGGATTTCCTATCTACCCAGCCATCTCCTCCAGTGCTACATCCAGGATCAGAGCTCATCTCAATATCCCTTCAGCCTGGCAGGGCTTGGACCCCCTGATGGGTGCCTGGCATTTGGCTGCAATATCAGTAGATAAATTGCTTGGCCTGGAGCTGGGAATGCCCTGCGAGTCTGAGGCCAGGAGCTCCACAAGGCAGCTGCCTCCTGGATAATTAGATAAAGCTTATGAAGAGTTGTTGGTTTATTTGATACAGTTCCGCCTCCTTGATAACAAGGGTAATCCTAGGTTGTTATTAACCCACTTGGTTTTAATTTGGTTTGTTTAACTATAGCACACTTAACTTTGTGGGCTGGCAGATAAAGGAGAGGAAATTAGCACCCTATCTGCTTTGGAAGTGTTTCTCCAGATGTCAGGGCTGGGAAAAGGAGAGGTGGTCTCACCAGCATCACGGCCACCTCCAGAGCTTTCTCCTGGCCTGCTGGCAGCCCTGATCAGTGTCCGTGGGGCAGGGTGTGTAAGGACACTTGCTATCTCTGCTAGTCCCTTGCTTGCTCTACAGTTGACCCTGATCAGTGTTTGCCAGCTGTTTTCCAGACCGTTTTTCCTTCTGATTTCAGACCACTGTGCACCTGGCAAGTCTTGGAAGGTGTTGCTTTTTTCAGGCAGTTTGATACGACTCGTCTTGCCTGCTCTCCTAGCCCAGCACAGCCCATCAGCCCGCACAGCCCACAGCAACCTGCTGCAGGCAGGATCTGACCTGGGTTCCAAGCCATCACGGTGGTAAGTAGGTGACCCAGGAAAGCACCAGGTCTCCAGCAGAGAATTCTTCACTGTTCTTGAGAGTCTGCAGCTGTATGTCACCACTCCCCGCTCCTACAACTCTCTGCTGAGGAGGGTCTCTGCACTTGGCTCCCACCACCACACTGCATTTTGATGCTGATAGCCAGGGCAAATAAATCACAGTTCCCAGGAATACTTAAGAGGCACAGCACCATGGTGCCAAATGCTCCCCTCTATGTGGCTCAGGAGGTGCTTAAAGCTCTAGGACAGGGACCCAGGCCGGGAGCATCCCTGCCTGCCATGGCGAGGACATGCCTGCTCCTACGCTCAGACCTTCCCACCCAGCCCTCTCACTCCGCATTGCAGCAGAGGCAGTCGGGCGCTGCTGGCAGCTCCACAGAGGCAGCTAGTGAGGAAAGCGCAGCACCCGCTTGCACCACAGCAGGAACACTTGTCTGAGTAATCCCAGCACCCAAGCCCGGGACAGGTTCCCAAGGGTACCCATTGTTTCAGCCCATCTCCCCAGCATCCTGCTTCCCCCATAGGCAGGTGAGAGCAGAGTGAGTGCAATCCATCCCTGCAGAGCTTGAGGCTTCTGTTCAGGGGCTGTCCTGCTCCTTCCCCACCCTGACTGTCCTCCGGAGACTAAACTAGGCTCTACCTGCAAAACATCTCTACAAAGGCAGTTAAGAAGGAATTTATTCCAGAATTTAGTCCTGAATTCCCCTATATCATAAGTGTGACCTCCCTCTGGGACGCCCCAGAACATGTCCTAGGAGGCTTTCAGATTCATCTCTTCCAGCTACTTGTCCATTGCTACCCAGAAAGCTAAACATGACCAGCACTAGCACCACAGACACTTGTGCTCAGTCAGTTTGGAAACCTCAGACAGGCAGGTCCATCAATCTGTCCAGATTGGGTGTTGGGACAGGAACCACCGGCAGCCCAGAAGCCCTGTGCCAATAGTGGGAGGCTCCTGCCCAGCCCACCGCCCTCCTCAGAGAAATGAGGAAGGGTTGTGCAGGCAGCACGTCCCAGGCAGGTGACCCTTCCTGTACCCACACCACGGTCCCCGTCCCCACAGCACACCAAGCACACTGGGGAAATACAAGTCCAGCGTAGCCATAACATGCAGCTGGGACCAGTCCTGGTGACGACAAATACAAGGAATGCTGCAAAGACATCTGCTTTCTGAGTTTGCAGCGAGCCCACAAGAGGAAAGGCTGAGGACACACTTGAGAACCCAAATGTTCCCCAACAGAAAGAAATAAGGACTTGAAGATACAGACTAGGAACAGGGTGCGATGGCATAATCTACATAGCTTTGAGAATAACATGAAACAAGGACAAGGGGAGCAGAATAAGACCCCCAAGTCAGAAGTGATGATCATGAGGTGGAGCAGACAGATAGAGCAGCCACAAATGCACAGAGCATTATCCTTCTGCTTCAGGGAGGCATCAGCTCAAGCTCTGCATCCAGCTTGGTCCCTGTGCCTTGAAACTCATCTCAGAGGAGATGAAAGCAGCTGAGCAGTATAGTGGGAGAAGGAGAAAGCTGAAAGGGACCTAGAGATCTCCTTCATGTGCAGACCATGCAAGCAAAGAGGATGGATAGTGATTTGCTGTGTTTGGCGTGACAAATCTTAGGAGCAAACTGGAGCAAAAAAAAAACTTCACAGTGGGAGAATTGATGAAGTACTGAACAGTCTGGGGAGAAAGAATTATCACTGTAAACAGCTCCCCAGAACTGGGAGCAAACACCTTTCAG